CCACTTCTTGCTATATTCAACCCGAAAAATGGCATCCCGTTGTTTACAGCGGCTCGCCTGCAACTTTATGCAACCACTATTCTGTCATACGACTTCTCTATTGAATACATAAATACTGACAGTTTTGGATATGCCGATATTATTTCTCGACTAATCGCAAACCGTCATAGATACCGTCATAGCATCTATTCAATTAGAAGAAGACGAGGACCTGAAAATCAACTGTTTTGAGGTAGAAACGGCCACCAAACTTCCAATCACTTTCACTAATATTCAAACAGCAACCAAAGGCTGCCATACTCTCAATAAGGTTACGTCCTACATCCAAAATGACTGCTGGCCTCAAAAGAAAAAACAAATCACAGATAATGAAGTAGCGGCATTTTTCCAGCATCGACATCATCTTACGATCCAACAACAGAGTATTTTCTTTGGTGAGAGAATTGTTATTCTCAAAATTTACCACCAGCAAGTCCTTGAAGATCTCCATAATGGACATCCAGGTCAGTGTCGTATGAAACATCTTGCTGCTATCAAAGTTTTTTGGCCAAACATTAATCTTGATATCGAACATGTGGTCAAAACTTGTAACACATGCGCTACAGCCTCAAAAAGTCCAATGAAATGTACTCCTCAACAGTGGAAAATTCCTTCTGCACCATGGAAACGAATTCATATTGACTACGCTGGTCCAATCGATGGCAATTACTTCCTTGTTATCATAGACGCTTTTTGCAAATGGCCAGAAATTGAATATTTCAACTTCAAGTACTACTGTAGCTAAAACTATTGAGTTCATTGAGAAAGCTTTTGCGCAACACGGCCTTTGTGACACGATTGTTAGTGATAAATCTCCGCAATTCATCTCGCAGGAATTCAAAAATTTTTGCGACTTCCAAGGAATTAATCACATATCTACAGCTCCATACAGTCCACAATCAAATGGCCAAGCAGATTGGTTCGTTGACCTACTCAAATCAAGACTTAAAAAGGCAAAGGGAAGTATCGACAGGAAGCTCAACGAATTCCTCACTTGTTATCGATACACACCATCCTACAATCTCGGTATGAAATCACCATCTGAGCTCCTAAATGGCAGAAAAATGAAAATTCGTCTTGACTGCATTAAACAGCAAAAACCGGAAGGCGAATTAAAAAAACAAAGTAATCAGCAAGAGACAAAATTAAAGCAGTTCAGCATTGGAGATAACGTTTACTATAAACTTCATTCCAATAATAATAAATGGACTTGGATACCTGCTGTAATCATAAAGAAACTTGGAGTAGTAAATTATGAAGTCAAAATTGACCAGGAAAGTAATGAGCGCGTTATTAAAGCACATGTAAACCAGCTGAAGTATCGTTATACAAAAAACGTACTAAATGAACTGCTTAAAGTTCCAGAATTCACGCATACAGTTGAACCGTTCATTGTTCCAAATCGAACTTATGTACCGGAAGAGATCCTATCCCCTGCTATCGAGCAACAGACTAATTCCAATGATGATTTTAATAGCAATCAGGAAATATCGACTATAACACGTTACAAAGAGTTAAGACGATCTCAAAGGGCTACAAAGAGGCATGCGCCACGTTGACATCAAGACTACCAACAATATTAAAAGGGGAGGACTGTAGTAAACGGACGTAGTACAACACTGGTAGTAAATGTACGTTGTACAACACGGGACAAGAAAAGAGCAGCTGGCAGAAAAAGGGCGGCAAGATAAGCGTTTGGTGTGAGATTAACAATTAGTGTATTTATGTGTAACTAGCGAAGCTACTACAAATATATAAATGTTGAAAATTCTGCGGGCGTCTTTAATGCGGAAATAAATGTGTTCATGATTGAACAGCGTAAAAATTTATAGTTTATTAAACTAAAAATGCTTGTTAGTCTTACATTAATAAAAAGAAAAAAAAAATAATTATGCTGCTTATACATTACATAACTATTTTATTTCAAATTACATCCTCCCTTTTTCGGATGGATTAGCTATTGCATTTTCTTCCCTTTTCCGTGCAATCACTTGGCAGCACCTTTGGAGTAGTAGATAGTTTTGATTGAAGGTTTTCTATATTTAATTGTAGCTTTCTGCCGTGGCATTCGTTGATTAATTTTTGGCGGTACCACTACAATTTTCTTCAAGCATTCTATCTTGCTCGTCTGACCTGGTAATCCCCACACTCCTTGTAATAACTGGCTGCGTGATCTTGAAGGGTTCAATGCTTTTATCTGCCAACGATTTTTTACAGCAGTACTTTGGAATTTTACTTCGTGGCCCCACATCGAAAACCGTTTAAGGCTACTCCAACGGTAGCCTGTTTGCTGTAAAAATTGATTCTCATGCTTCTTCAGCCGTGTATAAATTTTGGATATCACACATGTTGCCTTGAATGTAATTTGACGAAGTTGATTTTACAAAAGGTGTTACTAGTTCGCAAGTTTGAAACTGACTGACCTAATTTACGTATTTGCAAAAATCATTTACTCTTATAGCGACGTTTTCATTTGGTGGAAACCATTTTTCAAATCGATTACAGAAAACAAACTATCTTACCCGAATTGCGCCAATACCTCATTGATATCAAGAATAAGATCTATATATCTATCATATATCGTAACCGCATTCAATTTCCTATAATTTACTACTACTCTTTATTTTTTTTCTCCAGAAGCATCTTCTTTTTTGGGAACTACCCATATTGGTGAATTGTAGGGAGACCTAGAAGGTCAAATAATTCCATCTTCTAGCAGCTTTCCTATTTGCTTTTCAACTTCATTTCTCAAAGATGCAGGGTATGGATAATATTTGGTGTAAAGAGGAGTATCGAAATTTTTTCTAATGGTGACGGCAACTTGTGTGATGAAATTTAATCTTTCGTTTGCTTTGAAAAACAATTCTAAATGTTGATGTATTAATATTTTCATTAGTTTTTTTTTTTTTGTAATTAATTCATATGGCTATCTCTTAAATTACCAAGATTAATGTCCTGTGAGAGTAATTGCTTTAATTGAATTTTATTGGAGTTTCTAATAATCATAAACTTGTGTTTAGTGAATAACTGCAGACAGCTATTTAAGACTATCGTTACCTAGGATTGCATTAAATGAAATTAAAAATGGGAGAATATAAAATTTTGATTTAATATTTGTAAGATTAAAGAGATTTACGTGATTTGCGTTTTATTGCCTTTTGTTTTTTGCGCTCGAGATGAGCAAATTTTATTGTTATATTTTTTGGCTGCAAGTAAACTCCGTTGGTTTGATTCTGTCTCTTGTTTTTCGATCGCGAACGTGTCAACACACGGGTACACACAAAAAAGTGATTAAACAATCAATAACCGAAATTATATAAAGTCAATTGTATAAATTAAATAAAATCAATTAAAGATCACAAACCCAATTATAAAAACGCTTATAATTCACATTGATTTTATTTAAAGTAATTAAACAATCAATAACCGAAATTATATAAATTCAATTGTATAAATTAAATAAAATCAAATAAAGATCACAAAACCCAATTATAAAAACGCTTATAATTTACATTGGCGACCGTGACAGGACTTTTGGCAAATTGAATAGTGCTATTCTGTGTACTGTCGTACGTATATTATTGTCCAATTGGTGGTTCTCGGTTTAGGTCCGCTAACCTCAAAACAGAACCTCGTGTCCGCATCAAGATCGCGCTCGACAGTTAAATTCACAACAACAAGATATCTTTACTTGTTGATTGTACATACTTTCGCTTTTAATGGTTTTGGTTAATTTGTAACCATTAAAGTGCGCGTGTGAATATTTCTTCTAACCAGTTATATAGCTAACGCGTGCTAACTATTATAATATATCGTACATCTATATATATACTACATATGTACTATCGTACGTATATACTATTGTCCAATTGGTGGTTCTCGGTTTAGGTCCGCTAACCTCAAAACAGAACCTCGTGTCCGCATCAAGATCGCGCTCGACAGTTAAATTCACAACAACAAGATATCTTTACTTGTTGATTGTACATACTTTCGCTTTTATTGTTTTTGGTTAATTTGTAACCATTAAAGTGCGCGTGTGAATATTTCTTCTAACCAGTTATATAGCTAACGCGTGCTAACTATTATAATATATCGTACGTCTATATATATACTACATATGTACTATCGTACGTATATACTATTGTCCAATTGGTGGTTCTCGGTTTAGGTCCGCTAACCTCAAAATAGAACCTCGTGTCCGCATCAAGATCGCGCTCGACAGTTAAATTCACAACAACAAGATACCTTTACTTGTTGATTGTACATACTTTCGCTTTTATTGTTTTTGGTTAATTTGTAACTATAATGTGCGCGTGTGAGTATTGCTCCTAAACAGTTATATATCTAACGTGTGTTAACCATAATAATATCGTATATCTATACTACATACTATCGTACGTGTGTACTAGTGTGCATTCTATGGTTCTTGGCTTCGGTTCCGCTAAGCGCCAAATAGAACCTCGTGGCTGCATCAAGGTCGCGTTCAACAATTACAACAACAACAAGATAACTTTACTTGTTGATTACTGGTTATTATTTGCTTCCAATCAGTTAGTGTGCGGGTTCGTCAACGTCGCGTCTGACAACAACCACCGTAAGAGCAGTTCAATTTCGTAAAGTTCGCTGCTGCTATTGTGAGTTTTCGACTTCGTCAAATCCTTTGCTGTTCCCAGGTATCTACAACTGTTCCAATGGCAACGGCAGAGCCAACCACTACGGCAGAACTGTCAGAACTAAAACAACAGCGAGCCTCGACGAAAGCGAGCATTTCAAGGATCAAGGCGTTCGTCAAAGGAAAGAGCAATTCGCTTTCACAACCAGAACTGAAATGTCGACTAGGTATTTTAGAATCATATTTTAAACAAATCCTAGCTTTTCAGACTTTGATCGAGAAATTAGATGCAACTGACACAGCTAGAGATGAATTAGAAGACCTATACGTTTCCACCAAAATATTAATCATGTCTCAACTGCAGGAAGAGGCCCACAATGCGTCAGTGCTAGATGTAACAGCAATGATGCCCACCTCAAGTAAAAAATTACCACTGTTAAAATTACCTACATTCAGTGGTAAGTACTCGGATTATAACAATTTTATTAATTCGTTTCTCCAAATCATAGATCGCGAAATATACCTCACAAATATTGAAAAATTTAACCACTTATTGAACTGCCTTACTGGTCAAGCTCTAGAGACAGTACAGGCATTTCCTATTTCGAATGAAAACTATCCAAAGGCTTTGGATAGGCTTAAATCGCGCTATGACAATAATAGTCTAATCTTCGCCGAAAATATCGCGACACTATTTGATCTACCAGCAGTATCGGGTCAGTCAAGCCAACAACTCCGTAGTCTGGTAAACAATGCATCCGCTTTGTATGGTCCACTCTGTTCGCTAGGTACAGAGAAACAAATATGTGAGGCTCTACTTATCTCGCTAATCATGGAAAAAACGGACGCAATTACACGTAGGAAATGGAATGAATCGCGTAACTTCGACACATTACCCAGTTGGGAGGATTGCTCAAAATTGTTGGATAGGCATTGCCAGTTTCTCGAATCACTCGACAGTGGAAACGGCAATCAGTCATCACCACAACGTAAACCTAATAATCTTAACTCCAAGACTAACAGACGCTCAAAACAATACGCATTTGTTGCATCTACATCCAGCAATTCTTGCTCAATTTGTTCTAGCAATGAACACCTAATACAGAATTGTCATCGTTTTAAGGCACTGGAGGTGGTTCAAAGGTTTGAAAAGGTGAAGGGCCTTAAACTCTGCATAAACTGCTTATCGCGACGCCATCATGTGGTTAATTGCACATCAACGTTTAAATGTAAGGTTTGCGCAAAGCCACATCACACTCTCTTGCATCATTCGCAATTACCAACGAATATTAAGAGCGCCGGATCATCACGACGCACAGAACACGCCGCTATGCCCAACGACAATGTTGCCAGCCATTCCCATCTTAACATGTCATCGGCCGAGCAAATAATTCTAGCCACTGCATTGGTTTTAGTGAAGGACTCATCGGGAAGTTATCAAGTGGGTAGAGCCTTACTTGATTCATGCTCTCAGGTCAATTTCATAACGTAGGAGTTTTCAAAGAAGCTTAGTTTATCAAAACATAAACATCGGCTGCATGTTTCCAGTATTGGTAGTTCGTTGACCAATATAAAGTATCAGACGCTCACATCAATCAAATCTCGTCATTCAAATCTTGAACTTGCTTTAAACTTTGGTATTACGAATCACATCGCATATCAACCAAGTTCTGAAATCGATATATCGTCGTGAAAGGTTCCATCCAATACACCTCTCGCCGATGAGCAATTCTTTAAATCCAAGCGCGTTGACCTTTTGCTTGGAGCTGAAAGTTTCTTTGACATTTTGTCTGTCGGTCAAATCAAACTAGGTGAAAATCTACCAGTACTTCAAAAAACACTATTAGGATGGATCGTATCTGGCAAGTACAAGGGTCAGCCATTTGCATCACCAGCAGCAAAATGCCTATTATCAGTTGAAGATACAATTTCAGATCAATTAGAAATGATGTGGAAGATAGAGGAAGTGCAACCGGCTGCAAAGTCATGGTCACCAGCACATGTTGCGTGTGAGTCATTATATCGTGAAACGGTCCACCAAAATGCGACGGGAAGAATTGTCGTTCGGTTATCATTCAAGGATTCGCCAGATTGTCTTGGTTTGACACACAATATCGCCTTACGCCGTTTTTGTTCTGTAGAACGGCGCTTGTCATCTAATCGTGCACTAAAGCAAGACTATCAAGAATTCATGAAACAATATCGAGAGCTCGGACACATGACGCGTGTTGAAACTCCGAAAACCAACGAACCACATTATTATATCCCTCATCATTGTGTTTTAAAACCGTCGAGCACATCGACCAAGCTGAGGGTGGTTTTTGATGCGTCATGTCCAACAACATCGCAACGTTCATTAAATGATATTCTACTGGTCGGCCCGACAATTCAGCCGGAGTTATACTTGTTGCTACTTCAATTTCGTTTGCACCGATATGCCTTGACGGCTGACATTGTTAAGATGTACCGACAGATACTGATAGATGAACCAGATCGAAAATTCCAATATATTTTTTGGCGAGATACGGAGTCCGATCCTGTTAGTACTTACGAGTTGAATACAGTCACTTATGGTACTGCATCAGCACCTTTCTTAGCAACCAGGAGTTTGCAATATTTGGCGGACAAATTTGAAACACAATACCCAATAGGCGCTGCACTCATTAAATCATCGTTCTTTGTCGACGACTTCTTAGGTGGAGCGGATTCCATTGATCAACTCACCAATATCAGACATCAGTTAACGGCCATTCTACAGAAGGGTTGCTTCGATCTTGACAAATGGCATTCAAACCATCATGACTTCATCAGCGATACAACAACAAAGAGTTTGAATCTTGATACAGATACAGTCACCAGCGCCCTAGGCATCAAGTAGCACCAAATGCAAGATGTTTTCCTATTTTCGTTCAATGCGCAACCAGGTCAAATTGTAACAAAACGCACCATTTTATCCCTTGCGTCTTCATTATTCGACCCGCTTGGATTACTAGCACCAATCATACTCGTAGCAAAAATTATGATGCAAGAATTGTGGCTGTTGCGTGTAGACTGGGACGAGTCGGTCCCTCAAAATCTTCACTCAGCTTGGAAAACATTTATTCAAGATCTCACAACGCTTTCATCGGTTAAGGTGCCGAGATACTGCCTATCAATAAACCATCAACAGGTTGATGTACACGGTTTCTGTGACGCTTCAATACGCGCATATGGTTGCTGCATATTTCTCCGATCACAAAACACATCAGGTAAGGTGACGGTCAAGCTATTTACTGCAAAATCCCGTGTGGCACCTATAAAGCGGAAGTCGCTACCTAAACTAGAACTCTGTGGTGCCTTACTTCTTGCCAAACTGTATCAGAAGGTCCAACCAATATTTGCGCAATTTAAGGGTGAAACGTTTTTTTGGACTGATTCACAGATTGTATTACATTGGTTGAAGCAGCACTCATCAACCCTGTCTGCATTCGTTGGCAATCGAGTAGCGGAAATTCAAGATATTACCGCAAATGGGCAATGGAGACACGTTCCTACCCAATCCAATCCGGCAGATGTTGTGTCGCGCGGCTGTAACATCCGCCAATTAACAGAGTCCTGTTGGTTCACGGGGCCGGAATTTTTGTTACTCGCTGATAAATACTGGCCGCATTTGAAATGTCACAACCTGGATATGGAAGAAGTCAATAAAGAGACGCGAAAGGTTGTATTTGTTAACACAAATGAAGACAACTACGTATTACAGGTATTGTCAAGATATAGTTCATACACTAAGATGCTACGAGTAATAGCACAGGTACAGCGATTCTATCATGTAACCAAGAATAAATTGACGAACGGAGAATGTACCCTCCAACCTATTCAGCTACAAAAGGCATTGCACTGTATTATTTGGGTCATCCAACAGCAAATCTTCGAAATTGATATACAACGCCTACAACGAGGGAACCCAGCCGAAGGTACATTAAAGCATCTGTTAAGGTAGAAATTAAGTAATAAATAAATTATTTCACATTGTTAAATTGTGTCATTCAATTTATATTTTAAGCAATTTAGCAATTGTGAAATAATTTATTTTGAATATTTATGTTAAGCTGAGGCAACAATTTAACTGGAGCAACGGTGAAATATGCAACGTTGCATTTTGCATTATTAACAGTGTTCCAATTGATTTGTTGCTGAGGTATAATTATTATTAATAAAATTATTGCACAAAAATTGTATAAAAGAAATTGAAACAATAAAGAAAGTAATCAATCAATAAAAACTATTCTTTGATTCTCGTCAAACCTAATTCTGCTTTATATAGAGTAAGTTTCAAGTGCTTAATCTATAACCAATAAGCAATATTCAATAAGTTAAAGTGCTTATTGAATATTATAAGGATTAAGGTATTTTAAATATACATAAATTTTGGTGACCCCGACGTGATCGACGTAGATCAAGGACGTAAATCAAGGACGTGACCAAAGATCACGATCACGTACTACTTTATTAAGGCGTCGAAGCAAGAGCACAACAGTGTGAGCTTCAAGCAGATAAAAGGCAAAAGCACAACAAGTGTGAGCTTTCAATAAAACAGCAAGAGCACAACAGTGTGAGCTGCGAACACATTACAAGCACCAAGGTACCTGATTTGCTGGAAACAAATATGGAAACTTTTGAGGGGTTAATTCTCGAACAGCAACAACTGGGTCAATTAATCCAGAAATTGATTTCGAATTTCAAAAAGGATCCAAAAGAAAGGAAATTGAATAAAGCTTACTTTGAAGAACGTAAAAGGCGTTTAACTAATATATGGTCTGAATTTGAAGAAAATGACAACCGTATCAGAGAGTTGTCAGATGTCGAAACCACTCATGAATATTTTACTAATGAGGATTATTTAAAAACTAAAGACTTAGCAGAATGTTACATTGCTCGATTCACTCAGCAACTACAGGAGTTCAGTGATGAAGCAAATCTCAGCAAGAAGTCGCAAGTATCTAAACAAACAGAAATTTCATGTCTCATTAACAAGCAAATGGGAATGAAAATATCATTAAAACGACTACTGGAGAAGGTCCAAGGAGATTTGGGATCAAACACGTTTACTGCATTGGAAATATACAAAATAAAAATCAACAAGTTGTGGCAAGAAATTGAGGAACTCAATTTTAATATATGGGAAATCGCTAGTGACCCACTATCAATTGGTTACAATATAGACGATTATCAACAATTAGAGGAATTAATACAACAAACTTTGATTTCAATTTCTGAGCTGATAATAACAAAACAACCACATGTAGTTACAACAGAGGTAACTAACAATCCAATCCAATTACCGAAGGTGTCTATACCGCGATTTGACGGAGATTATCTTAAATGGACACAATTTTATGATATGTTCTCTCAAATGGTAGACAACCAATCACTACCCAAGGTACAAAAGATGTGGTTTTTAAAAAATAATTTATCAGGAGAAGCAGAGAGGCTCATCAGACATCTGCCAACTACCAATGATAGTTACGACGTAGCATGGAAGATACTTCAGGAGAGATACAGGAATAAGAGGATATTAACAACCATGTTAATACAACGGCTGCTCGGACAACCTCAATGCTCTGGCACTGCAATGTCTCTAAAGTCACTACATGATGTCATACATGAATGTTTGTTGGCATTAAATAACTTAAATGTTCAAACAGTTCATTGGGATCCACTCCTCCTTCATTTATTAACAAAGAAGCTGGATGCAACTACACATACGTTGTATGAGCAATCATTGGCAAGGCCAAAGGAATTACAATCAATGACAGGGTTTCTAAGTTTCATTGAAACACGTTTTCAAACTCTGGAAGCAATCGGCCAAAAGAGTACTACCAATAATAACGTAAAGGTATGTAATACCGCAACAATCAACAAATCAACCAGGCAATCATGCATATATTGTAAGCAAGATTTACATCAAATATACCAATGCAAAGGGTTCTTACAAGCAAATACTTTTGAACGACTACAATTTGTTAAAAAACAAAACTTATGTCGTAACTGTTTGCGACCAGGTCATATAGCATACAACTGTAAATCAGGCAATTGTATCAAATGTAATCAAAAACACAACTCTTTACTACATGTAAACTCATGGGTTAATGGCACTGAAAAACATACAACAATACCAAAGTCTAACAATACTCAACGCAATGTAAGCACAGGTTTAAGCGTTGATCATCAAGCATCATTAACTATTGCAAGAAAGCACAATGAACAGCAATATGTATTCTTAGGAACAGCAACTATAAGATTATTGGCACATAACGGCCAAGAAATTCAATGTAGAGCATTATTAGACTCAGGTTCTCAAGTAAATTTAATGACCGAGAGGGTAGCTCATCGACTAGGAATAACTCCAAAAGCAACATCAATGCGTATAAATGGAGTTGGTAACACCACAAAGGGTGCTCGTCAAAGAATCAGCACTGTCTTTAAATCAATGAATAGCAATTTCAATACAAATTTAGAAGCATTTGTGTTAGCACATATTATTGCTCCACAACCAACACAATGTGTCAATATCAGTTCATGGAACATTCCAAAAAATATTACATTAGCTGATCCTAACTTCAATGAGCCACAAAAAATAGACGTATTATTAGGAGCTGAATTTTATCCACATCTCTTAACGTCAGGGCAAATCCAATTGGGAGTCGACAAACCAATACTCCAGAATACTACTCTTGGATGGGTTGTAAGTGGCAAACTATCAGAAACAGCAAAAGGTGACACAGTCTGTTGTATGTTTAGCGAAGAAGAAGATTCGCTAAATAATCTTCTCGTCCGATTTTGGGATCTTGAAGAATCAGCACAAAATTCAAAACTACTGTCTGATCAAGAAAAATTATGTGAAACTCATTTTGTGGAAAACTTGAAACGTACTAAAGAAGGCAGATTTATTGTGAAATTGCCACTTATTGACAGTGTATCAACATTAGGATCCTCTAGTGAAATTGCACAACGCAGATTTTTCTCTCTTGAACGACGGCTGTCAAAAAATGAAGCATTAAGGGCTCAATACGTGCAGTTTATGACTGAGTATAAAGATCTCGGTCACATGGAAGAAATTCAACCTGATGACATCATGGCCTCACATTATTTCATTCCTCATCATTGCGTGATAAAACCAGATAGCACCACGACAAAATTACGTGTTGTGTTTGATGCATCTAGTAAAACTTCATCAGGTCGATCATTGAATGACATTATGCATACTGGTCCTGTGGTACAGAGCGATCTATTCTCAATATTATTACGATTCAGAATTCCAAGATACGCTTTCACAACGGACATTGAGAAAATGTATAGGCAAATACTTATTCACCCAGAAGATCAAATGCTACAATTAATCATTTGGAGAAATAATCCACAAGAGCCGCTACGATTTTATAAACTAAAAACTATGACATATGGGACTCGATCAGCTCCATACTTAGCTACCAAATGTTTACAAACTTTAGCAAGAGAAAGTTCTGGTACTTATCCATTTGGAGCAGAGACCCTACGAAGAGATTTCTATGTCGATGATGGATTATGTGGTTCTAACAGTCTGATAGAGGCTAAGGTGATTCAAGAACAACTAATTAACATTTTGAAATCATATGGTTTTAAGCCAAGAAAATGGTGCGCTAATCACCCACAATTACTACAAAACATTTCACCACATGATCAAGAAGTCTGTTGGGATATTTCTACTTGTTCGTTCAAAACAGCTAAGACTTTGGGAATGATTTGGACACCACAGCTTGATAATTTGTGCATAACAACAAGTATAACACCATGTACAACTTTTACTAAGCGTTCAGTAGCTTCAGACTTAGCAAGAGTTTATGACCCATTAGGATTGGTAGCACCAATCATAGTCACAGCAAAAATATTTGTTCAACGAATTTGGGAATTAAAGACGACCTGGGATGATCCGTTACCTCATGAATATGAAGCCGAATGGGTTAAGTTTCGGTCAAGACTGCAAGAAATTAATAATATGATCATTCCGAGACATGTTTTTAACCATGAAATTCCATTAGATATTCAATTACATTGTTTTGTAGATGCATCTGAAAAGGCATATGGAGCAGCAATCTATGTAAGAGCAATTCTAAAAACAGGTACAATCATAGTACGGCTACTTTGCTCAAAATCAAGAGTAGCGCCATTAAAAAGGCAAACAATTCCACGATTAGAATTGTGTGCAGCACTTCTGGGAGCCCAACTGTTAGCGAAGGTTAAACAAGATCTTGCATACGATAACCACAAATCTTTTTTATGGACAGACTCACAAGTTGTATTATACTGGATCAACTCTAACTCAAATATTTTTCAAACATTTGTAGCACATAGAGTAGCACGAATTCATGAAATATCTAATGCAAGCCAATGGCGTCATGTAAGGTCCAAATTAAATCCAGCAGATCACCTATCAAGGGGTTTACAACCTACGGAATTACATTCCAGTCACATATGGTTTTTTGGACCACTGTTTTTATATGGAAGCGAATCATCATGGCCAAGTCCAATTGCTCAGGAACATCTTATAACTGATCATTCTGAAACCAAAAGAAGGGCGCTTGAAATGCAACGCTCAACACAACCTTCAATCGTAACTTCAGCAATCACCAGCATTACTGAAGATTTCATCTATAAGATCAATTATAGAAACTCGTTTGCAAGATTGCAACGAATCATTGCATACGCACTACGATTTGTAAAATACTCCAAAGGCAGAGACAACAGGCACACTACCTCTTTAATATTAAGTCCAGACGAGTTGAACTCATCATTACAAGTAATCATACGTATAATACAACAAAGCGATTTCAGGGAAGAATTGCAGCAATTACACTCAAATGGCACAGTGCACAAAACTAGTTCTCTCTCTAGTTTAAGTCCGTTCTTAGATAGTAACGGAATTCTAAGAGTCGGAGGTCGACTTTCATCATCACTTATAGC